GGCGAGCATGTTTGGCGGGACGGGGATTCGAACCCGCGACCCTCAGATTGCGGGTCGAGTGCCCTAACCACTGGCCATGCTGGGCCAAAACACCATGGTACAGGGAAAGGTGAAATGAAGGGGACACCACCACCAAAGAACAAGCATAGTCCAACAAACCATGATTGAACAGTCAAGCAAAAAAGGCAGAAAAGTGGTTCACAGTAGGACAGCTGGGAGGAAAGGGGAGGTGGATGGACCAACAATTACAGTCTTTGCTAGGCAAACAAAGTGGAAGAGTGACAGGAATTGAACATAAAAAAAGCTACACAAAAGGTGATGGACTAGATAAATCCCACACATGAAGATGGATGAATGATATTCTTTGATATAAAAGGGATATATGAGGTTGAAGCAACAGAGAGGGAGCATTGAGTAGAGGAAGGGGGTCTGAATGCTTAGTGAAGAAGTAGAGGAAACCAAGGCTGATCTAGCCAAAGAGACACAACCAGGAAGACACAATAAGGAGTCACATATCAAAGGCAAGGACCCAAGGGAGGAGTCAAAGGGAAGTATAGGCATATAGTAAAAGGTGAGACCACGCATAGCTAACAACACTGATAGAAACAAAGGATGAGGAACAGATAATCAGAAGAGAGGGAGCTTGGACTTGAGAGGAGTGGAAAAGGAGTTCATGAGAAGTTGAGAAGTGGGCTCAACCCAATGAAAGACCTACATGTGGAGAGAGCACTCCATGGGTAGAATGTTGCCTGGCCAAGAGAGAAGGTTTGCAACAAGGTTCATGGCTAACAGCACATGACAAGCAACAAGATGTATTCAATGGGAATGAGCCCAGAAGAGGAGGTCCAATGCCTGAAAGCAAACAGTCCTGAAACAGGTGCTTCCTTTTGGTTGGTGTAAGAGATGACCATGCAGTTGTCAGAGTGGATCATGACCAAGTGATGTATAAGAAGGGGTAGGAAATAAGAACATGGTCGAGGAACAGAAAGAAGTTTGAGCACGTTCAAATGAAGTAAACTCTCATCCAATCTTCAGAAGACATGTCATTGTTCAGAGACACAACCAAACCAAATCCAAGAGAGAAGCACTGATGAAGAGACAGATACAGTCTATGGGGTGGTAAGGAAGTGCTGAGTGTAGTATTGGCATGGTCTAGCCACCAAGATAATTCCTAAATAGAGAAGGAGGTTCACAATCAAGGAGAATGGATCCCGAGAAGGAATCGGTCTTGAAAAGTCAAATGGAGGAGGCATGTATGTGCACACCCCAAAGGAATAAGGGGTTCCAGGGAAGCCAGAGTACCCAAAAGTAAAAGAAACTCTTGTGCAGGATGAGAATGAGAAGAGCAAATCATGGTGACCAGACATCACATGGCTCACAAGTAAGGAGAACAAGACTAAGCCCAGCTGAGAAAAGAGTTGAAGAAAATGCCCAGTTGTACCAAATATCACATGGACAAGTGAATGAGCTTAGATATATGAATATATAGGGGCCAAAGCAATTTCAAAGGGAAAACCATGGAATTGGAATATGCAATTTCAATGAACAAAACATAGAAAGCATCTGGAAGGTGTAGGAAGAATTCCAACACATCAACCTCGGTCATCCATAGGCCAAGTATAAAAAAGACTACCAGAGAGAAAATAAATTCCTCAACAGGAGTGGTGAAATGACCAGAAATCAGTTGTGAGACACTAGATTGGTCACCAGACACTAGTCCCTGGTCTTCTTGGGGACAAGAGAAAACAAAAACAAAGAAGGGGTATACATACTCTCATAGCTAAAAGATCCAATACCACATCCTTGAGATATTGAAGATAGAAGGGGTTGGAAGAAGAAAAGAAAATGAAAAGAGGTGAGATGAGCAAAGAGAAAAATTGAGAGTGACACCGTGGTAGAGAACATGAAAAATCTGTCCATCAACAGAAAACCAAGACCAACAGCTGGGGAAGAACGAGAGATAGGCACTTACTGAGCCCAACTTGACAAGATAGTCACCAACAGGAAGAGTAACAAATCAACCATCAGGTAGTAGAATGACAAAGAAGAGAGGAAGGACTGGAAGGTAGAATGGGAAGGGTAGGGAAGAATGAACTGGTCATGGAACAGGAATTGAAAAGCAAAGTTGAGAAAGATGAAAAAATATGAGAAGATAATGAGGACTGAAGTCATGCAACTCCAGCTTAGGTATCCAGTCAAACCTGAAACTACCCAAGTCTTCCAGGTGAAGAAAGGTTGCCCAATGAAGACACATACACAAGAAGGTGTGCATTAATGAGGAGTTCACCTAGAACCAATGAGTCCCAACAGCAGAAGAACCAAGTAAGAAGAGACAGAGTAGAATAAGAGTAACAGACAAAGGTGGCAAAGAGAAAGACATAAACCTCTCCAGAGAACCCCACTGGAGCATGATGAAGTGACCCAACAAAAGGTAGAGGGAAAAAAAGTAACATAGGAAGATGGTGAGAAAAAGACAAAGATGTGAAAATGGGGAACTAGAGAGTGAAATAGAAGGCAAAAGAGATTCTAAAGACAGGGAATCCAAAAAAGGAAAGAAAGAATGGTTGTAAGTCAGGACAAAAAGAGTCATGAATATAAAGAGACAAAACATGTGGGTACAAGTGTGGAGCTGTTTGAAAAAGGAAACAGTATAAACCCTAATATCCTGCAAAGGAGGAAAGACAAAGCAAACCCAAGGAGTAAAGAATGAGAAATATTAAAGGACACAAGCAAAAGATAATGAAAAGAACATAAAGCATATCCAAAAAAGAGTTTGGAATACTGAGAACATTCATAGATTGGTAAGGCATTCCACAAAGCAATGAAAGGCAAAATCATCATCCAACTAACCAACTGAGAAGAAACCATCATCTGAAGGGATGGGAGTAGGTGGCCTAGTAATCAACATATTGAACAAAGGCTGTTAATGTCTGCTATGGTTAGCAAGCATCCAGAAGCTGTAGTAGAAATACACTCTAAATATAACTTTATCACTTTCACAGGACAAATTGCCACTTGAGAATTCATGAAAAGAATTAGGGCTTTTAAAGCCGAAGGAAACTAAAACCAAAGTTTCATTAACAAACCCAAATCTCATCATACTTAGCTCAAATAAGAAATGTTGATCATGTCAGTTCAATGCAATGCTGAGGAAAAGATTGAAATTATCACAGGTGTTAGTGCATAAGGAGGGGGAGGGTTACTTCACACATTGAGGTTTTGTCACCCACCTGTATGTGGAGGACTAGTTGTATGATGACTTCATCATACACAGTTCATATTAAACTTGAATTTTGTTATAAATGTTATAAATCCTTAGACCAAATCTTTCAAAAATCAGATAAAAAACAAAAATATTCTTTGTATTTATAAAACTTACTCAGACAAAGTGTTTATAAGATGAAATAGTAAGATTTGTTTTAAAAATAAATATATTAATGAAACAACTACCTTACTGGATCTTCTAAAAGGTTTCTTAAAGTCTCCAAAAACTCATCAATGACCTACACATGTTAAAATAAAAAAGGCTCATTAAAAAAAATTATTGTTTATATAAAAAACATAAGAGCATAGAAATGAGATGTTAATATTTTTCTACAGTGAAAATGTATTTCCTATAGACACCTTTTCACACATAATAGCTTTTCTCAACTCATGCTGCCCTCTATATGCACATATTTTGCTTGCCACTAGCCTTGATGTTCCTACGTACTCTCACATAATTTCTTCTGATATAACTGTGCTGTAGCATACAAATGAGTATGCGACATCTCCCCACCAATAGGAGTGCGACACACCCTCCTAGCACTATCATCACTTCAAGATTAGGCACAAAAGATGCACTGGAAGTGGGAAGGTCATGTGGGAAGTGTGAGAGAGGTAAGTATCTATCAGAAATATATTTTTAGTGTAGGAAAATATTAACTTCTGATACAACATCTTACCTCCTCTCACATAATAGCTAGAGTCCCACATTGAAACAGTGGAGGGACCTGTGGAAAAGAGTAGCACTCTTCGGAAGGCACCCCAAGAGAACCCATGGAGTGTGATACCCTAATGTATAGGATCACACCTGTGGGAGACCACACCTCTTCTGTACCAAGTATGCTCTTAACTCATTATAAAGTTACGTGTTGCTAAATTAGGCAAGAAAGACACACATTAAATCTGTAATTAGACATGCCAGATAGTGTAGAGCAGCTAGAGTGCATCAGACCATATGTGGTGGGTCAACTCCAGTTCAAATCCAGGGTATTTGTCTTCATCTCAATATTAAGAAGCAGAAGGGAAAAACAACTTCTGTTCCAACAACCCAAGCAGAGCACATGCGTATATATCCAGTACACAACCAACACCAGATCCCCTGGGAACTTGACATTTGGGCAATGGTAGTAAAGGGGCATGCAAACATGGTAGGTCAACTCAAGACCAAAACCAGACGGCACTGGGAATTTGTCACCTGATCTGTGGTAGGAGAAGGGTCCCTACCAACCACATGTGTGAGGACTTATGTTGGATGGTCCTGCACTGATCCAACATGACACTGCCTGGGAACTGACATTCAGGCAGCAGTAGGATGGGGGAAAAGTCAGCTGGAGAAGTAAACTGCATGTGGTTGACTTGTCCAGTCCAAACCCAGGCAGCATCAGCAATTTGTATAATGGTCCGAAGTAGAAGGAGAGTACTCACAAGCTCGGCATGGCCAGGTGGTTAGGGAGCTCGACTCGCAATCTGTGGGTTGCAGGTTCGAATCCCCGTCCCACTAAACATGCTTGCCCTTTCAGCCGTCACGGCATTGTAATGTGATGGTCCATCCCACTATTCGTTGCTAAAAGAGTAGCCCAAAAGTTAGAGGTGGGTGGTGATGACTAGCTGCTTTCTCTCTAGTCTTACACTACTAAATTAGGGCCAGCTAGCACAAATAGCCTTCGTGTAGCTTTGCGCGAAATTCATAACAAACAAACAGTACTCACAATCTACACCAACAGAAAACGACTGCCTTACTTTCAACTGAGTGGAAGTGGTCACACTCAGGAGGAAGCCTCCATGGTCTATCACCCAAGCAGCTATGAACTGGTAAGAACTCCCATACTCCACTGAAAGAGGGAGGACAATCCATTGAGGAGCCCAGAGGAATGCAACACCATGAGACAGTGCAATGGGTGACCATAAAAACCTATTCTGAAAAGCATTCCAAACCTAGCTTATTCAACTAGGAACGGAGGGATGGCCAATGAATTTGACACTGCTTTACTCATGATAGTCTTTGAGTTGGTATGGTCTGGTGCAGGCCTTATTTGTGAAGCAAGATACCATGAGGTAATGAGGCAACTTCCAGCAGTATTGTGGAGCACCCCATCACATCAGTGAGCATTATAGACATGTATGACCATATGGTGCAGAGTTACATTTAAGTATACCAGAACAGACACCACTCTCCAAAGAGCCAGATCCAGGAAAGGAGAAAGGGCCACTGGAAAGGGAAGAAATAAAAGGAGGAACCTATCCTTTCAGAGCCAAAATGATGTATAGAGAATGGTGACGGGCAGCAAGCAATGGCCAGATGAGAAGAAGATGGCCAAATGATGCAGGTATTAGGCTATAAATATGTGAGCTATGGTCAACATGCTAGCCTTCACAATCTCTTCTAATGGATAATGGAAGTGGACAGCCAGGGAAAAAGTAACATGACATCTCTGGTGGGAAGGAACTTGGAAAATGCGATGAGAATGCATGGATTACGATGCATAAGCAAAATGAATAAGCTGGTAAATCCATCTCGTAAGAGTGACAGGAGAAAGATTATGGGTAGAGGAAGTATTCCATGGTATAAAAAGATGGAAATGGGATCGACAGAAGGAAGCAGTGCAAGCAGGATTATAATGAGAGGGGAGGGAAACAATTGTGAAGGTGATATCCCCTTCATGCACCTCTGAAATCTTGGGGAAAAAACTATGATCCAGGTAAAGGAGAACATAATTATGATGATAGAGGATATGAACAATTTCGATACCAAAGATATCTGACTTATGATGACCACACGTGAAGAGGAATAAGATGCATGTTTTGAGGGAGAGGTGGTACAATGAGCATGTGGCCAAAGGTTCAAAGGGAAAAAGGACCACATTGAAGGACCACATTGAGATTCCAATCAAGTAGGGAAATCAGATGGAGCAGGCAAATCAGGTGAAACAGGAGAGAAAGAATGGGAGAAGAAAAAATGCAACGGGAGGTAGAGAAACAAAAGGTATTAGATAAGGCTGCCCTATAGCCAACAATGGTGGAAACTGACAAACCATCGCCAAGTTAAGAAATTGGAAAGGTGGGAAACTCTAGGTCAGGAAGATGAGAAACCATGGCATAAAAACCAACTCCAGAAAATCCAGCATTTCCTCTGGGAAGCATTTAAAGAAGGGAGGGTACTCGCACAGAGAGCGCAGATCATCTCCAAAATACTGGACAAAATCCACATGTGAAACCAGAGTGCGGTGATGCTCAAATGAAAGATTGAAGACTGAGATTGATGTTGAAGGAATCAGGAAAGCAGAAGAGGAATTGGAAGGGATGATTGATGAAGGTTCAGGATCAGAAACCACAGTTGAGTAGGCCAAAATGGGGAGATTAAAAGGACTCAACATGTAGTGGCTTTGATAAGGGAGAGAACACGATCGTGCAACACCCACTAAAGACAATGCATGTGTGCATGACCCCATGGTATGAAGGCATTCATGGAAGCCCATCATGCCATAAGTGATAGAATCTCACACACAGGTAGAGAAGGAAAGAACTTGGCTTTGGAAACTAAGAGCTCCATTGACCTCAAATGAAAATGAGAAGACTGGGCTCTACTGAGGTAGGTGTTCAAAAATACCCCCCAAATAGATAAGATACTGCATGGGGGTGAGATAGGAATTCTCCAGCTTGACAATCCATCCCATACAAGCTGCCTCCTTTAGGAGAAAATGGTTATGTTAGTGAAAGGTTTGTTGGGACAGAGCTAAAAGAAGCCAGTTATCCATATAATAAAGGAATTGCAAACCATGTGTGTGTGAAGATGGTGGGCAGAAGTTCTGGCCACACAACACAAGATAAATGGCACTGATTCCAGACTGAAGGGTAGAGTGCAGAACTGAAACACTCAATCACTGAACAAACTGAAGGTAATGTCTGGATGCAGGAGATATGGGGATATGAAGGTAAGCATGCAAGATGTCGACCTTGGTCATCCAAAGACCTGGAGTGAACAACCAAATGAAGGGTGAGGAAAGACTCCATGGTGAACCACAGGAGGATGAAGAAGCAGTTCAGGTTGGAGAGATTGATGACAGAATACCAATCCACAGTTTTCTCGGGAACTACCAGAAAAAACCCAGGAGAAGTGTGAAATACTTGTTTGATAGCGTACTTGTGCAAAAGATCGTGAACTGACTCAGAGAGATGTTGTCATGAAATGGGATCCCAAAAGAGTGGGGAAGGAAATGGGTCATGAAAATAAAAAGAGTTGCACGTCTCTGCCAGAAACATTGTAATATGCCATGATGGCACCATTAACTTGTATCGAGATTAATAATAAATGGTAAAGGACAAGTAAGGAAAATAAAACATTAAAAATTAACTATGTGTGAAAAGGAAAGACCTGAAATTATGAATTTTACCAAAAGATATTAACTTTAAAGATATTCTACAAAAAACTAAAAGGTCTGTTGGTTTTTATATTTCATAATTTTAATCATTTCCTTGCATGTTGATGATAATAGCCAGAGTTAGTGATATGGTAGAGAAAGTCAAAAATAAAATAAAAACATTTACCTGAAAAAAAAACTTTTGATATTGATTTAAGAAGTTCTTGAGATTATGCAAATGAAATTTGAAACTATAAGATGAAGTATTTTTATACTTAAAATGAAAATCAACTTGTACTTGATTTATTAAGAGTTTGAGCGTAAGTAACTACAATAGATAAGTAACATAGTTTTAGTAAAAAACACTTAATTAAAATAATGTCATTCTTTGTGTTCAAGATACTTATGATCATTAACAAAATCTTACCAGTTTTTGAAAGGATACGTTAAGAAATCTCAGAGTTACCGTATTTATTTTTGCACAAATGAAATTCCCGATATAGTTTTCTGCAAAGTACACTAGCCCATTATGAAAGGGTTAACTGAAAGTGCACACGAGAATTGTAAGTACAGAGCAAAAATTAAGCACAACTGCAAACTAGAATGCCAAATCAAGAAATGATGACAATGCTCTACAGTATAGAAGGAGTAAGATGCACTAGAAAGATGTGTCACACTCTTATTGGTCGACGGTTGCCATATGCTCATTTGCATGCTCCAGCACAGCTATACCACAAGAAATTAAGTGATGGTAGGTGGGAACATCAAGGCCAGTGGCGAGTGAAAATTGCACATATATAGGGCAGCACAAGTCAAGAAAAGCTATTATGTGAGAAGGGGTAAGGTATGGCATCGAAATTTAAGTTTTAATGTTATTTTATCCATATAAATTTAAGTATGGTGTCACTATAATATGATTTCATTCAAATCAGGTAAAACTTAGCATCACCAGGATGTAAACCCATATTTTTACCATTCATTTATATCAATATATTGTAGTTCATGCTTACAACTACTTTCTTCCAACTGTTAAGAGTGAAAACCATTACTTTAATCAATCTTATGTTTGTGTAAGTACAAGTGCTCATATACTAGACAACTGGTCTAGTACAAGAGTGAAAAGCATCACATTAATCAACCTTACATTAGTATACATATGAATGATCACATACTAGACTTCTGGTCTAGTACAAAAGTGGAAGCTATCGCAATAGTCAGTTATGTTAGTAAACACATAAGTGATCACATACTAGACTACTAGTTTAGTATGTCCTACTATGACTTGACAGTGTACAAAAATCCTAGCAGAACCAAGCCATAAATATTATAGATACTATCAACCGACACTGTCTATTATACCGAACACACACTGAAATATATATTATAACATTTACATAAAACAAGAAGCTCACTTCTGGATAATTCTGATGGGATTTCAAACTTTTTCTTAGATCTCTTTGAAAAACAGCTTGATCAACATCTATGGAAAGAAATAATGCACTTGATAATATTAGAACAGTAAAAATATGAATCAGGTTTTTCATTAGTGTTCCTTTTGAAACTAAATGCATTCATTACAATAAGTACAACCACACTTAATGCATAATCTTATTAGAGAAAAATATTCACAGAATTAAAATGATATAAGTGCTTTACAATGGCCACATAATAAGGTAAAATTGCAACTACTACAAAGGAAACTTTTGTGAAGTGCTCCATTACTCATACACTATAGTAACTAGGTGTAAAGCAATTCTTACGCCAAGTAAAGCAACAAAATTCCAGTAACATCAAAAGCCAGTGTTAAACTGTAATATTTTTATTGGTGCTGTGATATCTCAAAAACACCCTCTTAGGTTGACCTTAACTGGCAGTTGATCATCTCAACCAATATAAATTTTCTGTGGAAGTAAAAGTATAAAGTAAGATTCCAACCCAAAATTAAAACCAAACAAAAAATTGTAAACTAACCTGTTATTTCAGATCAACAGTTTATGTGATAATTATATTCGTTAGTAATAAGTGGTACACCACATATTTAATTCAACAATGAAACTCCATAAAGGATAATAACAAAAAATCAAATTAATATTGTGTATTCTTTACTGTTAATTTCTTATAGAGAAGTCTAAGAAACTTATTATCACTTTCAACACAACTTCATATTGGCAGCCTTTATTAGGGACAATATTCTTTACAAATAGAATAGTGAAAGCAAATAACTGTAAACTTTTAAGGAACCAGAAGGAATTTAAATATTTTCTTCAAGCAATATAAAATAATCAACAATGCATGTGTTGTCATTAGTAGTTTAATATGCAGGATCACTAGATAAATAGGAATAACAAGCCCATCCGAGTTCAATGGAATTGATACTCCTACTTATTTCATATAAACAAAACTCGTTTAATTTGAACACATTTTGAACTCATAAGAATGCTCTGCATTTTAAACATAAAACGAAACAATAATGGCATCCTGAAAAATGCCAACCATTATAAAAGTGACACTTTTTCTAAAAAATAACTACAGTAAAGTTCAGTCAGGGTATAGATAAAAAGATGATCAGTAAATTACAAGCAGTTACCATCTTAAAATTTTGACCTTAATTTTGTAATTGACAATGCATAAGATTTTATTCAGCTTTTTTTAATTAACTTATATAATGATATCCATTTTGATGCTTTGAAAAACAATTTTCACAGGATGAAACTTCAACTGCACAATTATTTTCTCCTTACATCAATTTTAACATGTTCTTGGCATTTTCAGCTGCATTTGTTTGTTGTTTCACCTAACTGTTAAGTTTAATTTACAATTCTTTTTCTTCAATCTGTATATTTCTATAAAAACTACATGATCTTTCACTACAAAGCACATAATCAAGTGGCTTTGAAAGATCATGTAGTGCTAATTTTAGAGTAAGAGCTTAGGTGAGATTCATAGCTTACAAATTCTAGTGAGTTTAGCCCTGATAAATAAAGGTTAAGGATTTCAGTACGTAAAACTGATAATTCAATTTCTAAAAGCATCACCTCAGCAAAGAGGACATATCTTATATCCTGTTCAGTAATAAATTTAAGTTCTTCAGAAAGTTTACAATATATTCAAGACCTTGTCGAACTAATTAAAATATTCCATTACATCTCAACTGTCTTATTTTCCTAGTTATATTTAAATGGTTCTTTCAAAATAAAATGTAGTATTTTTGTTACCCATAGAATTAAATAATGGTTAAGTAAAAATGGATCATTGATTAAATAGTGCAATTATATATGATACACAGTTTAAAAAAAATTATTTTGATGTGTTGTCATCAGAAAAATTGCACATGGTCAATAAGATGAATGTTTAGACATCTGTACTTAAGTTTTGGTTGTCCATTCTTTTAACAATTTGTTTGTGTGAAAATAACACATTTACTTAGTACTTACTAAGTTGATTAGCAGAGCCTCCAGTTTTAAAAATATAGCCTGCTTTGGTTATTAGCTGACAGAATTCTGTTTCATCTTTTAAAATTTCATCATCTCTTTCTCCATTAGCTGGCTGTCTTTGTTGACATAATGCTAAATGAAAACATTAAATGCATGAAAATGTTGTAGTATCTTATAAGTAAAGTTGGTCATACTAACAAAACCTATTATAACAAAAGTTAATATTTTCTTAAATCAAAAATGTATTTCCAATAATACTTACTCCCTCTCACACTACAGCTATTACTTT